CATATATATATATATGGTATTATATATATATACATATATATGTATCATATATAATATATATATATATATATATATATATATATTTTACATATATATATATACATATTATATATAATATATATATAATACATATTATCATACATTTATATACATGTATATACTATATTTAATATATACATACATATATATATATACATATAATATACATATATACATATAATATATATATAGTATTATATATAATATTATATATATATATACATATATATTAAATATATATAAATATTACATATATATATACATATATATATACATATATATATACATATATATATAATTCATATATATATACATATATATATATACATATATATATAACATATATATACATATATATATATACATATATATATATTATTATTTATATATACATATATATATATATATATATTATACATATATTATATACATATATATATATATACATATATATATATATACATATATATATACATTACATATATATATATATTAATGTATATATATTAATATAAATATAAATAAAATATATATATATATTATATATATATATATTATATATATTATTATATATACACATATACATATATACATATACATACACATATATAAACACACACATGCAGGTATATATATATAAAACATTTTTTAGACTTTCAGGTCAAAATGAGACCAGTCACTACTAGTTTAATTCATGCTCTGAAAGAGAGATATGAATGTATAAATATGTATACAAAAACACAGAATATGATTATGATGGCATATGAACTTCCTCACAAATCCTTCCATTCCCTGATTCCATTGATATCCCCTTGCCACCTTGAACCATTTGTATGAGTACCTCCTCTAGCAGCATTCCTGCTAATTTCTCCCTCCCATTCCCTTTCCACCCCATGTAATGGATCAGGCTTAATGTACCTCTGTCACAAGCATCAGGATGTTATCATGGCACAATAACAATAGGGGCAAATGTGCACTTTTGTAATTGTTAACATATTTGTTGTTAACCCCCTCCCTTGCTCTCCTTATCTTTTCATCTATTCATTACTCCATCTCCACCACCCTTTTCTCCCTCTATCCGTTTGTCTGCCTTTTTATCTATCAATCCATCATCTCCCTTCTCTTTCCCCCCTATCAAGTAGATTAGGCCTTTCTTTTGTGCCTCTGTTACTCATCCAAGGGTGTGTTATCATGGCGTTATAGTATTAAGTGCAAAGAATAAATTTTTTTTGTTTCACTCTTATAATAATCACATTCGTTGTTGCCACTCATTAAATCACTTGCCTGTTAGCTGCTCAACAGTTCAACATAACTACTAGCTAAATTTTTCAAATTTCTGGAAGATGACTCGTTGCACAAGAAGGGTATACTGTAATTCTACACAACAATAAATACACCTGGTAAAAGTTACTCCTCATTTAAAAGCATATTTCTGTGTTGTCAAGATGTCTTACCAGCCTCAGCTGTCTTCTGAAATTAACCAACATAGCAGCCATATGCTGAAAACTGATCAGTATCTGCTAAATCTACTGAAAAATTATATTTTCTTTCACAAATCATTAACAGTTATGAACCAATATGAACTCTTTATATAGCACTTCACAATGTACTGAAGATTTAGAAATCCATTTCAGTTTCTTTTGACCTTTTTGTACATGCTACTGTGGTTATGTTCATAATTTTAGTAGATATTTTCCAAAGAACATGAGAAGAAAATTAAATTCTCTGTTTTGTTAGCCAAGTAAAAAACAAAATCACCATAAGCATATACTTAGGCAAGGATAAATATAACCACAATTACCTTATCAAAGAATTTAGCATGATATTTAGCACTCAGTAGTTCAGATACTTTTCCTGACATCTGACATGTCTTTCGAGTGAAAATGTTTAAAGGAGTTAAAACAAAAGGAAAAGATTGAAGCAAAAAAATATGAGGTTATATGTATGGAAAATAATGCATTGGGACTAACTGGCATATTACTTCAAGGTTATATGTAGGACATATACAAAATAATACTTCTTATAAGCACTTAAAATATAGCTGCAGAAAATCAATCTCTAAATCCCCATACACTATACAAAAAAGAGAAGTAGAAAAAAAGTTCTACCAAAAATGATTTTGTATAATCAGGAAACAAATCTGGGAAGAGAGTCCACCCACAAAAATCAACTATAGATTAGGCAATAACACTAACCAACCTGGGCGGTGTCTCAGCGATCTTGTCGTTCATTCTGGTTGACTTCGGCGAGACCTTTCACTTTAAGTCTCTCTGCTGTCTTGAGGAAAGCTGGGAGGTCAGCCTGAGACACATTCACCTCACCAGCATACATATATTCCAAGATGGCCTGCAGGTGACTGAATGGAACATCCTTCAAGATGATTATTGGATGTTTGGACGGGTTTTCCTGAAATTGCAGAGCTATTTATAGTCTCTTACTAACTCAACAATACAGGGAGGGG